GAGCCAACTAGGCTATGTGCTTGTTGGCACTGGCCACACAGTCACGCAGATAACAAGCATTTATTGAATCAATGTCTGCCTAAGCAATGCGTATCTGCACTGCAACCATGTTGAAGCAACTCATGTCATGTGCCTTACTTTGAGATTCGAAGCCGACTGAGTGAAGCAGTGCTGATGTCAGTCAGAGACGTGAGTCACCACTGAGCTAGCTATTCGAGCTCGCCATCCACCTCCTGTAGGACTGTAATGGATACTCTGATTCGACACTAGGAAGTAAGTAAGTAAGTAAGTAAGTAGGAAATATCATGCGCGTCCAGTTTTCACTTTGGTGCAGACTGAATGAATTCTATTAGACGACAAGTTTGTAATGTGGCCAGAATCAGAATTGGTGGCTTGTAATCCATCACAGTGCACTCTGAATTCTTGTCATTCCTTGATGATTGGAGACAATCGTGAGGAAGGTAGGGCATCTTCACGGAAATAGGTGATGTTTTTTTTAGCAGTCGGAGATTTTCGGGACCTCAGGTTTCTTACTATGGATAATTAGGAAAGCGCTGCTTCTTGAGTTAGGTTGAGTATCTTGACATCATTATCGGATGGCTCCCTCCCACACCTAGAACTTGAGGCACACCTTAGGTAAATAGCAGCAATCCTTTTATTCTGACCTCGTATTATGGAGATTAGGACGTATGGAGCTTTTAGCAAGGAATCTAGCTAAATTATCAGATAATAAATTATTTTAGAACGTATTTAATCGACATTCCTCTATTCTTTCAAGCTCTTTAATTTAGGAGAAAATCACCTAATTTCCCATCTTATTGTGTTTTTATTGATAGTACTTATATTATTGCGAATGTAGTTTATGTTACATTGAAGTTATTCAAATATCTTATCATGTATATGAATGAAGCAAGAAAGTTACGTGAGTACTTTGATATGCTCATGAGCAATAATTTGTGTTCGAAACGTCATCGGTAAATATTACTGTACAGCACTGTGTAATTTTATCAAAACAAAATTTTATCCATAATGCAATTATACTCTACCACTCCCGAGGCTTACCTTTACATAAACAGCTAACCTTACCATGATTTTCCACTTTCAGTAACCATGTCTCAAAGCGTAAGCCCTGGAAAAAGATGGAACGTTAGACATGATCATATCGACCCCACCGTGTACGGAAAAACAAAATCACCACCGCCACCAAACATCAAAGCTTCAAGCCAATCTCCATCCACCCACACTACTCCACTCGAAAAGCAAAATGAAACTGAAAATGTGAAGTTGGTTAGTGCTTCTATATGTATCGGTAGTTTAGACACTTGGTACCTTAATCTCGATACTATGATCAGTTTTTAGGTTAGCTGGCCAAACAGAAAGGCTAGTGTACAAGGAACTCTCTAACAGATAGTGAATCGGTCAAGAGAAATGAAATTAAGATAGATGCATTGCACACATACGCTGAGGTCGCAGACCTACAAAGCCATCAACTAGAATCAGAGCACGAAAAAACAACTTGAATGTGACAGGGAGGAAGTACAAGCTTCTATGGCCGCCATCTTGGCACGGAGTCAGATGAAAGACTGATGACGGAGTACAACTGAGAAGTTGTACGACTGAATTCATACTCACCCGAACCCCACCTCGCATACTCCATTTAATGCACAAAGAATGAATAATAATTATAATAATATATGTATATATATAATACTTATTTTTGTGATATTTCGAAATGTATAAACCATAAAACGAGAAGAAGAATAACACTAGGTTTACACTAACAGAAGGGTAGCATTATTATCATTATTTAAATGACAATCATTGAAAACATTTTCGAATTTTCATTTCTGACTCTCCTCAAGACTTCTAATTATACAAACTTACCAAAAACATTTCTAAGCAGAAAAATAACGATAATATATAACAAAATGAAATACCTATTACATAATTAACTTCGAAACAAAAATGTAACTCCTGATTATTGACTGCTTTTCCGCACGCACACACACACACAGCTACAAACGAGTTTAAACAGTTTAACTCCAAATATATACTACTCATATGTCTTTTTCAGTAGTACACACATTATTAAAAAATAAAGGATACCCCTGAGAGTAGTCAGTCAACGCAACACAGCACACAGTATTCTAGCAGGGTCAGTGTTACTGGTGAAGAGGGGAAACGATTCAAACAGCACAAGAGAAGAAATTGGAAGGAATATACACAGGTTGATAAACCTACATAGAGAGAGAGATAGACAGTCTAACAAGGAGACATGTCCGTATGTAGACTGAATTCGATTAGGTAAAGCTTCAACAACAGAAGATGGAGAAAAACACAAGGTGATTGACCAAAAAATCTTTAACAACTGAATAGAATGAGTAGATTATTAGGTGATTAGCTAGGTGTTTATTATTGTATGTTTTTGTTGTTATTATTATCATTGTCATTTTACACAGGGAATATATATATATATATATATATATATATATATATATATATATATATATATATATATATATATATATATATATATATATATATATATATATATATATATATATATATATATATATATATAATTTAACAAATATCATATTGGTAATCGCCATTCATCCATACAAAATATCGCCCAGGGTAGCCAGAGAAAGATTAAGACCCAAGAAAACAACAGGGCAAAACCAAAACGAAGGAAGGAAGAAAGGAGAAACCGGTTGTACATCATACCACATCACCCTGCCAAACACGCAGACAACACGACAATTTAAGACTCAATGAACAGCTAAACTCTTCTCATACAGACAGACAGACCGTTGTCGTCAAATTCTGCACAGATTATACACACAATGAACGGGAAAAGAAGGGAATTAAGATTCAAGCGGGCAATTATTGTTACATAAGTTGTATGAAATAATAATAATAACAGAAAACCAAAGGATGAAAAAACTCGACAAACAAATGCAGAACGATGGATGGATTCCCAATGTTTTCTTCACGGAGCTCTTTTTTTCTAAACGTCCACCGGTTCTGTTGTTTATCTCTGATCCACATCAAAAATGGACAAACACACTTTGACATTGTACCTGAAGAGATGAGTTTTAGACACGGAGAGAGAGAGAGACAGAGAGTGTGACAAAATGTTGAAGAACATACGTTATTTCATATGTAACTGAGGTTATTATATATTTATATGCGTATTTCATAAAGAAATACTTGGCTGGCTAGTCAGAAGATTTCATCATGCATCCATCCCCGAGATATTTGATACAGAAGGAGAAAAAACCACAGCCAAGATAATAATAATAGTAGTATGATTATCAGAAGAATACGAAGAAGAATGGATAGAAAGAGAGTAAAAGGCGTGGACACTTTCCTCCCACCACAGCAATAAATTGTTGATAGACAGAATAAGTAAAGTGGTAATAGTGAATTGTATAATAAGACACGCTAAAAGTAACAGAAAAACACCTCGGAAACATGCCACACACGCAGGCGGACAGACGCCCAGATAGATAGACACCACATTCAAGTAGTTGGAATCGACACACGGGTAATCAAAAGAGGTAGGTAGTGGGTGAGTGCATGGGTCACAAAAAAAAGTCGGAAGAACCTCCCAAACCCTGACAACAACATGGACTGTAATCTCTTGGACAAATAAAATGATGAATAAATAAACAAACTGAAAAACTGAAAAATCAAAAAACAATAATTATAATAATAAGTATCCACTTAATTATTGAAATAATTCACAGGTCAAAAGTGTATGTATGAGTGAGTTTTCAAGTCTACGAAGAAGCTGTTAGTAATAATAATAATAATAATAACAATAGTAATAATAATAATGTGATCCACTTTTACAAAAATTCCTGAGAAATATTACTACTATCAATATTCGCAGTATTCATTGGGGAAGGACAGAGAATAATGGCATCAGGATCCGTCTTCGCTACCGACATCATAGCCATCGCTTTGTCGCTTTTCATAATCAGACAAGTGAATATTGATGCCAGGGTGGATAAAAGGCTAGATAATTCATTGGAACAAGTAAACTTTTTAATACGTGATGTAAGCGACTGGAAATTCGATAACTTCAATAAAAGACGTCCCATACGTCCATGTGGTGCACTAGACCATATTTGATTACAATAATACTCTAGGCCAGAATAGACATGATCACGTAATAATTCAACTTGTAAGGTAACATGACTGGGATATGAAGTCAGGGAGTCTGTAAACACGTATAGGGAGAGAAAGACGAAAGGGAATAGATATTAGTTAAAATGAAATATAAGCAATGAGCCAAACGCCAACCTATAGTGTGGAAGAGGAGCTAATAGTTGTTTAAACCTCGATAGATACAACCGAGTTCGAACTCGTGACTCAAGAGTGCGTTGGTGGTATAGCGGTTAGGACGCTCGCCGACCATGCACATGGTCCGGGGTTCGATTCCCGGCCGACGCACTCCTTTACCTCGCTAAGCCAGAAATAATTCTGGTGTAGAGGAAAGGTTGGGCATGAGGCTATCAACCACATCCTGTAAAATAAAAACACTGCTACAGAAACTTCAAGCCACTAGCTTGAAGCCCTATGTTCCACTGGGGAACGTGAAGGAAAATTAATTAATTAGATACAACCGAGTTCGAACTCGTGACTCAAGAGTGCCTAGAAAGTAAAACGCATACTAGAATCAATAGCCTATATATATATATATATATATATATATATATATATATATATATATATATATATATTATTGCATAATTAATCAATACACTGTGGTATTACTGCATAATTCGTGATATCTAGTTGTCGATCAAAGAATGTGTCCACTAAACAGCAGAAGTTCACTTTGTTCTCCTTAATGGCTACGAGTGAGACCTGAACATGGAAAGTGCAAGATGAAAAGACCATTTAGTTGTCTTTGAGCATAGATGTCTGCGTTCTATCCCCAGTGTTTGTTAAGCGGTATAATATGGTGACTAATATTGAGGCGGTTGGGCGTAAAGTGGTAGAAATGGAGGGTAATTCAATCGACTAGGTTGTAAAGCTACACTGAATTGGGATAGCTGTGATATGTTTTAAGCATACCAGGTCGCCATCTTCCTCGACGAGAAATGTTAGCTAACATAGAATTAGCGTGGAAATGAGTTACAGGTGGGGTCAGACCGAGACCGTAAGTCAATACATGAAGTCTTCGACAGTCCGTTAAGGCCACCACAATGAGGGGTGTAGTCTGATTAGATGAAGTCCTCAGGATGCTAAGAGCCAATAACAGAGTAGCGGTGACATATCACTAAAAACTGTTCTCAATAATCCAGATGGAGTCACACCCTTCTTTCCAATTTTCGAATCCATGTACGCAGTCAGAGTAACAACTTCAATTGCTAAATACTTTTGCGCATAATGGTTCTATCATTTGAAAACCTGATTCAGTTACTTAGTTGCATAAAGGCCAAAGGGAAGTTGTGGGGACGCAGGGGTTGGAACCCATTATCCTAAAAACAAACAAATACAATAAGAAAATTAAAACAATTAGTCCCTTTGAAAAATTTGAATAAAGCATTAAGAAGACAAATTTCGCGAGATGATATCATTTGTAAAGAAACTACGAAATGACATCATCTCGCCAAATTTGTCTTCTTAATGCTTTATTCAAATACAATAAGACTTCGGAATTTAGAGATAATTAGAACCAGTGACTCGAGGTGTTATCAGAAATGACCTAGAATTGTAATCGAGTGGCAAACACACAAGCATTTCCTTATATTCCCATTTTCTTGAAGTAATATGAAATAGTGATATAACATGGTCAGTACTAATGCATTATCATTATTACACTCCCTTGGGCTTCAACAGGCCATCTCCACTTCGTCCTATTATCTCCAACCCTCTTCATCTGGCTACAACAATTGCCCTTAAACTTTCATCTCCTCCTAACAAGATCGCCTCTACGTTACACTCTGAGGAAACCATCGAATGCGATCGCACGCTAGGTCATCACTCGAGTGGAACCATTTTCCTCAGCAATAGCTTCTTGATTAGTATGTCCCCAGTGTTCCTTCTTCCTAATTCCTCTGGTCTGCAGTAGCCTGTTATAAATGCCTTTCATGGTGCCAATGTCAAGTTTTCGACCCATACAGAAACACTCAGCGACTTAACATTACTGTTGAAAATCTGAATTTTGTTCTCAATGTTGAGAGCGGAAGATTTCCAAACTGATTCCAGAATGATGAAGGTCTGCTTTACCTCTCCGATACTGGTTTTATGACGTCACTGTGCTGTGCTGTCACCTGCAGTTAAAATGACGCTACTTAGATAAGTGAAGGTAGTAACGTCTTTCAAAATTTATCCCGTTGACAGTGATTGATGCTAGTAGTTGTTTGTTGATTATCTTTATCACCTCTGTCTTCTTTGTATTTACATGAAGTCCTCACTTTGCTGCTAGTCTCTTCGGTCAGTTTGTCGGTTTTCGCCTGTGATTCTTCGAATTTGTGACATTAAACATACATCATACACCCTAAATCTTGTAGTCATATCGTTGGCCTAACATATCCCTGCCTTCTTGCCCCCCACCCACAGTCTTCTGCATAGTCTAGTAGACCATTATTAAGAATATCATCGGTGATAGTTTGCAACTTTGTCTTACTCATGTCTCACGGTTTCACTGCGTTTTCTGTTGCAGTAAACAAACGAAACCAATCAATCATATTGTGAAACTATACCGATGTAGAAGTCTAGGGGACATATGACTTACTTTCTTCCACGACAAGCATTGTTAGCTAACATAAGAATAACATGGAAAATGGTTAAGGGTGATGAAATCAAAAACCTGGAATCGATACATGTTAAGTCTTTGACTGCTGATTTGAACCAGTCTATATAGGTATGGTAGACCTGCTGTCTGACTCGAGTCATCCAGATGCTAGGAAACAATGAAGGATGGCAAATATTCGTGTGGTATGTTTTCAATGTAGATGCATTTCAAAGTAGATGCATTCACTCTTTTTATAATCTCTTAGATCTATTCTATCACCATGTTTCTCTGGAAACTTATAGAGATTATGACAACTTGAACAGATACACACTTTTATGCACAGAAGCTCCATGATTTGGAAACAGCCAGATGAAGAGTGGGTGACGGAGTTCGAAACCATGACCTTACAAACAAACAAATAAAATAAAATAAGACCGCTGAAAAAGTAGCATATATTACTTACCTGGATTGAGTAATAGAATTAACTTTAAACATCCCAATTCCACAGAATCCAAATGTAATGATCTCAGTTTTTCAGCCAGATTAATAATCAACTTGTCGGCACTGTCACTTTTACTAGAAAATTGATGATGATGATGACGGTTTTGAACGTTATTATTATTACTATTATTATTATTATTATTACTGATAGTAGTAGTAGTAGTATTACTGCGACTACAACTATTACTTTTATAACCGTCATCTTCAACGTTATTATTGCTGTTTTTGTTAGTCGTAGTAGTAGCAGAAGTATGAAGTGATTTTGTTAAATTATTAAGCAAATGAAATTCCGGAAAGTCATTAACATCCTCCTCGATCATCTTGGTCGTCGATGTTCCTCTTCCTGTGGTGGTGGAACTGACGGTGTTCTCCTTATTGTTACTGATATTATCTGAATCCGATCGATTATCACCATCAATATTATTGGCTAATCGATAGGCCAAATTGACAAGAATTAATTCGATACAAGCTACAAGAAGGAAGAAGAGAGAAAGAGGTGGATGGGTAAGAAAACAAAGGGTATTAAGTCCAAACGGTCAATGAATCCATCTCCCTGGTGTAAGAGTTGAAAACTATTGTGCAACAGTGGATAGGTACTTCACCACAGTCTGACATATTATCACTACTGTTAATATAAAACATACACACTATGATAACCTCCTAAAGATCTACCAAATAAAACCTCAGATTGTGAGAGGGTTGCGATACTAACTGCCGGGGAACCAACTGTCTGTCTGTCTGGATTCAACATAGAACTTGGCACCGAAGTGCACCAGTTCGAGTTGCCACGTTCCAAATAGCACACAGAGGTAGACAAGAAGATGAGTGAAGAGAATCAATACAGTCTGACAAGTATAAAAGTGAAACAGAATGGGTAATGGTAGAAAGAAATATGAAAGATTACAGAGACTGAATACATCTGCGCTGGCCATTGACAACGATTTTGAGCCATGTCACCTATTGTCTCCAGCCATTGATTCTTAGAGTCAGTCCCGAGGGCTCCAACCCGGAAGTCTGCATCTCCCTACCTGACTCAGTTTAACTGTCAAGGATTTCATGGATTGATGAGGCCATGTTTTTGTTTGGCCACCACTGGCTCTTTTCCAACCTGAACCTATATCAGCTAGTAATGCCCGTCGGGGGAGGCGATGGTTAGGCATGCGCAGCACATGACCTAGCCATCTAAGTCTATGTAACTTTATAGCCTCGTCGATTGATTTTCCCTCTTTGCCCAATACTCTACGCCTAACGTCAACATTACTTACCTTATTAAACCACCTAACGTGAGACAGAGATCGCAGACATCTATGATCGAAAGCAGTCAACCTTTTCATGTCTTCAACTCGTATTGGCCATGTTTCAGAGCCATAGAGAAGGACGGAGCGAACTGCTGAGCAGTATACACGTCCCTTGGTTGATAACCGGATGTCACGCCTACGCCAGAGATGGTGTAAGTCAGCGAAAGCAGCTCGAGCTTTTTCGATCCGTGCTGAGATTTCATCGCCAATCAGTCCGTTGGTGCTAATACAACTCCCCAAATAGGTGGGCTATTGAAGAAAGACTATACCTTATTACGTAGGATGTTAAAGGTTGTCAGCAGGGTAAGCAGTTTGCCACTTAGCCAGCTTGTTAATATTCTGGTGGACAGGCATATGGACTCATGTGAAAAATGGGCGAAATCCATTTTATCTGACTCACAACACCCTCTACATTCACAACTCTCCCCATGTATCTCTTCAGGGAAAACAAGAAGCCTATATAGGAAACTATATGCCCGCACTAGTAAGTACAAAAACTCATCCATACCCTACCTAGCCCGTGTTCTGTGCGATAAAGAATGCATCAGGCATGAAACCTTTAACTTATTAAATAGTCAGTAGAACCAATGGATCTCGTCTTTCCAACTCACATCATTTATAGGTACAACGTTTTCTCGCTCTTCATTCTGTATTTTATTTTTGTTATGTGCTGTTTTGTTTCTCTCTTCCTTGCAAACTCTACTTAAAACATTCTTGTTCGTTCTTTCACACTCTGTATATCTCGACCATTTTGCTATCGCTTACGCCAGTAAATATGCTAGTAGTATCTACTTTTCTAACACCTTCAAACACTTTAATTTTGGCTTTGCTACCGACATACTAATATGTTGTTGAGATAACTTTAATCTATGTAGAACTTTATTTATTGTTAATGTAAAAAACTGGATGCAATATTGTAGTAAAATGCTGAGAATTCCATTCTGTATCACAAGTACTGATTTGGAATAAAGCTTATGTTATGTTAAGTGGTCAACATGTTCTATCACTTCACTCCCTATCACTAAGTTAGGAGTTGACGTGGTCCAGTCCTGTAGCAGCATCTTACATTTTGCAGGGGCGAATCGCATGCCAAACATACGAAGATTGCTGCTCAAGGTGTTCAGAAGACTCTGCATTTTGTCAGCATCCTCCCCTAACAGGACTATGTCATCTGCATATTCTAAGTCCATAAGATTATTCCCTGGTAACAAGTCGATTCCTAAGTCATTACGTTCAGTTAAGGATACTTCCATCAGCATATCTATGATGAAGTTAAACAGAAATGGGGAAAGTGGACATCCCTGTCGGACACCACTGGTTGTTACCAATTCAGATGACAATTCCCCATAAGCCCTTACACGACTACGTGAGTTTGAATAGAGTGCCTTGATTAGTGCAATGTACTTTCTTGGCACTCCCTTCACAGTCAGACATTGCCATAGTACCTTTCGATCCACGGAGTCGAAGGCCGCCTTCAAGTCAAGAAATATGACAATTGTTGGACGCCGAAAAGTGTGTCTATGTTCTAGAATCTGTCGAAGAGTGAAGATATGATCTATGCACCCTCTACCTGGTCTAAAGCCTGCTTGATTTTCCCTTGTCTGTTCCTCCCGAGTTCTGCTTAGTCTATGCATGATTACTGAGCCTAGGATTTTAGAGACTATGTTCGTTAGGCTGATCCCCCTATGATTATCACACGAGGACTTGTTTCCCTTCTTGAATATCGGTATAATAAGTGACTTACCCCAGTCTGATGGCACTGTCTCTGATTCCCAGACTTTGCCTAGTACCTCAGTTAATCTACAAACTAGTATGTCACCCCCATATTTAAACACCTCCGGAATAATTCCGTCGGGTCCTGCCGCTTTGCCTCGTTTCAAATTACTGATAGCTTTTGTGACCTCACTTACAGACGGCGGACCAGTGTCTATATCCCATTCGGGTGTGTGCTGGATGTCGGGGAGGTTCAGTGTGGCTGTAGGCAAGTTAAATTGTCCCTCAAAGTGTTCTTTCCAGCGTTCAAGGCGTCTATCCTGAGAGCTAATTAAGGAGCCATTTTTCTCAGAAATAGTCTCACTTATGATTTGCCTTCTCCCACCCGTTTCCCTGATGAGTCTAAAGAGTTGCCTAGTGTTGCCTATCGCCGATGCTTTTTCCATCTCTTTTGCCTTTGTCAGCCACCACTGTTCACGGTCCTTGCGGAGACTTTTAGTAAGTTTCCTTTTGTGCAGCTTTCGCTCCTCATTGAATTCGGAGCTCGCCGGAATAAGTCTTCTAGCATCTATCAGTTCGGATGAGGCAGTCGAAATCCAGTGGTTTTTACTCACCTTTGGATTTGCCTTATTCACAGCTTTTACAGCTGTATCTATAGCTGACTGAATATTCTTCCAGGCTTCTCCAGGGTGAGCACAGCTGTCGAACTCAGATATGCGTTTAGCTAGTTCTTCCTCAAATAGGGATTTAGTTTCCTGATCGAGCTGGGGACGTGATGGTTTTACCGCCAGCTGTTTCCTACGTCCGTTCAGTCGTAAGCACACACGAGCCCGGACCAGTGCGTGATCGGTATCTACACACGTGTTCCAGAAGGAGCGACAATCTCCTACCGACCCACGCCAACGATAGCTTATTGCTATGTGGTCTATTTGTGTCCAGCGTTGGTTTGATGATGGGGCCCTAACACCGAAGCAGGTGGTGAGGTGACTCCTCTGCCAGCGGCCGCAGCCGAGCATTTGGTTTCTGGTCTGATCTACAAGGCCGTAGAGTGGAGCAGTGTCAGGAGCTGCTACATTTCCGTGGTCGCTAGTGATCAGGGGACAGTTTCACACCTCGTTCAACCCTGTATTTTATGGAGTCTGTGTACGCACCATAATTATGGAATATTCAGAGTTTCCCACCTAACCCTTAGGTAGGTAGACCTGCACAACAAGTGCTTGTTGACTAATAAGCCACCGACAGGAAGGAATGCGACGGCCAATACAGAAATTTCAATCTGTGATCATTCGCGATTTTTACCGCCACTGAAAGCCAATGTCATCGGCGAACATCATACACTCGACGACTTGGTTGATGCTAGTGGTCACAACTCGTCACGTGAACTCCAGGGAACTTTATCCTCCTGTATTATTATTATTTTTCCTCCACGTTTCCAGTGGAACATAGGGCTTCAAGCTAGTGGCTTGAAGTTTCTGTAGCAGTGTTCTTTTTTACAGGATAGGGTTGCTAGCCTCATGCCCAACCTTTCCCCTTTACCAGCATTTTTTCTGGCTTAGCGAGGTAAAGGAGTGCGTCGGCCGGGAATCGAACCCCGGACCATGTGCATGGTCGGCGAGCGTCCTAAGCGCTATGCCACCGACGCATTTATCCTCCTGTAGTCAGTTGACAAGTCACCAGTGAGAATAAAACTAATTATCACTTGTTAGTTAGTAGGGACTAGATTAGTTTCAAGCTTGATCACGGATTGATGTCATTTAGAGAAGACCAGTGAAAACACGCAGCATGGAGTACTGGATAGCCGTTTTGTCCTGTTTCTGAACTCCTCAATGTTGACGGAAGTTAGGATTCGTGAGCACCTGGTTCCAGCCCCAGTGAATGTTTGGTCGCCTCATAACCTAAAGTTAGTGAGTCGTCGGAGGATATTAATCAAAAATGTCTTCCTATGCCACGAAAGATATTCAGCCTCCTAGTCGCCGTTATTCAGATCCTAAAAGCCTTCAGTAATTTTTCATCAAATTACATTTTTCTCTGCTATATTTTCGTTTACTTTCGTTCGGTACAGAGCTTTTCTGAAGTATAGATATTTCAATCAAAATCAGACTAACTGAGGCTATAAATTACTTCAAATAATCTCAGCGTGTTTAAGAAAAAATTTAAAGATTTTTTTCTTATATGATTTATAATGATTCAGTCTGACTCAGCGCTATAATTATTCCACGAAATTCATAACATCTACAGTCTGGATACTTATGACGCATGAATCTGTTTTAAGTTCTAGGGAAAGTCATGACCACTGAGCTTCCAAAAGTTCTCCAGTGTGAAGACGAACACATGTCAAATACCTTGGACTGAGTATTTCCTCCGATCTTTGCTGGTCCTCCCACATCTTGCTAGTTACTAGAAAGATGTTTCGCTTAACGTTCTACGTTAGGAAGTTTAGGCAGTCTGGCATAAAGCTGTCTTTGCTTTCTCAGTTTGTAAATTCTTGTATTCTACCCATCCCCCTTTACTGCTCCTCATTAATTTCTCCTGGACTACTTAAGAAAGACTTTGCTTTGCTGAGAAGGGCACTAAAAAGCCGTTAGTAGGGAAAGTGGGATATCGTTAAACCAACTGGTTAACACTATTGTGGATAGACATATACTGTCATGTGAAAAACTAGCGAATACAATATTGTCAGACCCGAGCATCCTCTCTACACACAGCTCTCTCCTTGTATTTCATCTGGTAGAACTAGAAGCAGCTATAGGAGGCTATATGCTAGGACTACCAAGTAAAAAAAACTCCACAATACCATATCTGGCACAGCTGTTATGTGATGAGAAATCCGTTAGGTATGACACGATAAACTTACTGCGGCACTCGTACAAATAGTCCCGCTAGTTTTTGTTTTCCTATCCTCGTTACTATTACACTGTTGTTCTCATCTTCTATCACACATCAACTTTATATTTCATATCCTGTGATGCATTGTTTAAAATGTAAACGCAAGGCTGTTCTTTTTTTATTTATCTTTTTTTCTGGGTGTTGCTTTTTGATTTTTAAAATCTTATAAAATTTATGAGGTAATTAGATGCAATATATTGTAATGCACGCTGAAAATCCCATACCTGTACCACAAATACTGTTTGGAATAAAGCTGTTATTATTATTATTATTATTAATACATGTGTAAAACTTGGGCAGTGGTAGTAATTCCATATTAGTTTGTTTATTAGATGTATCACACAGTTTCACTGTGTAATGTGAGTGAGTAATGCCAATGAGGAATTCCAAACAATGAGGACGAAGCACCTCCACCGATAGCTTTCAATGGTTTTCACTACATGATGTGTCAGTTAATCAATCCGTGATCATTAAATCTCGAAATCATCCAAATCTCCCCCACACCCTGACGGCAACCAATACACTTGAAAATCAGAATATCACACAAACACACAGTTCCAGTCTAGTATGACTACTGTTACGTAGCACATTATAATAAAAAGTGAAACAACGGTAGTTTTCGAGCAACAACAAAACATTGATAAATGCATACAAGTCTGTGTGTGTCTGTGCATGCATGCTTGAGTGTGTGAGTCTGTGTATATGAACACACACTACATCAATCAGTAAATGTGTGCAAGTCTGACCAACACGACAGACACACGGGAACACACACACAAGCAGGCAGGCACACAAACACACAGACTTAATAGCAATATATATATATATATATATATATATATATATATACATGCTAAGTAAACAAAGAGAAACGCTTACATCACATAAATACGTTTTTCATAAATAAGCGGTCAGCATAGTATAATAATGCATAGATATAAAAATATATAAATAGAGACTTATTGATCACAGAAACATAAATTATAACTGTGATATATGATACGATGTGAATTGAGTTCAAACAAAATTGATTCTTCTTAGGTCATATTAAAACAACCAACTAACTAAATAACCCTAACCCTGATCAAAAATCAATCAGCCGATCAGTCGGTCAATGAATCAATAATGATACCATGAAGGCAATGGGCATTAAAATAATGTGATTGACGGAAGAACCAAGCAGCAAAGACAGGACTTTTCAGGTGAAGGAACAGGATTCGCATTTGCGACACCAATGTCATCAAGTGTCAATCAGTGCTTCTATATGGTTCAGAGACTTTGCTAGCGAGTCACCAAAAACATTTCCTGCAACCTAGGATAGGCTTTTATCAACATCTGCATTCACTCCATACCGAAGATTAGATGTCTGGAGGCCAGACAGGATTAGTGGCAAGGAATTCTGACAGGCAACGAACGATAACCGACAACCTATTGCTCAGTCAACATCTATGCAGAAGGAAATAGAGATGGATTGGACAGATGAAAACTAACAAACATTGGCAGAGGAAGCGACGCCGACAGGACTTCAAGTGGTATAAGAGAATAAGAGGAAGAAAGAGGTGATGAAAATAATCGATCGACCAACCAATATCAACAATATCAGCAAGCAGCAATCACTATCAGGGATTCGAAGGAGGTCATCTCTATTACTAATCTAGTTAGACAGCATCGTCCCAACTACAGGTAGACAAGGCCGCACAGTGAAGACGTCAAAGCCAGTCACCCAGGATCAGAAAAGCAAGACAAACTTTTACTCTGAAATCTGTGTGGAAATCAACTGTACTCAGCACAAAGAATAAGATTAGAATTTTCAACAATAGTTTCAAGTCAGTGAATCCCTTTATATGGTTCAGATAAATTCTACTCTGATTATGCATCAAGCTGGTATGAACAGTGAGCCCCCTCCCAATACACACAATAAGTGACAGTCTATGACTTGTAAAATCTGTTTCAGTATAACTGATTTAATATTCGATTATACACATGGAATATTCGTATCTATCTGTCTGTTAGTTAGTTAGTTAATTGGAGAGTGAAGGAGTGAGGGCATGTATTTACTTGGCACACATGCATTATAATTAGGCCAATATGACAGTGATGATTATAATTGAAAACGGTTGCCGATAAAACATAGCAATCTTACCTGATTTCAGTAGATCTAATTGAACATTACAAGATAACTGATTCATGTAAGGTAGCTTTGAAGACCAAATTATCAAATCCAAAAGTGGTATGAAGTGATCCACAGCTGTTGTGGGACACTACAAAAAAAGGAAAAACAACAAACAATTAAAAACAGTAATTAGGGAATACTATCGATATTATTATTATCCCTTTGGGTTCTGAGTGAACAATACGGCTTCACAAACTAGGCACATCTCCATTTTACTCTGTTCCACTACCTGGTTCCACGATCGCAGGACTCACACAAGCCTTCACTTCCTACTTCTTACACTACCACATCTCTTCCATGTCACCCTCAGATACACACCCTTCCGGCTTAAACCCGAAGGGCTTCGCGCAAATCATCCGATGGTCTCCTTACAGTATGTCCGATCCAGCTCAATTTCCGTCTATATACTTGTTAGGCGATAGCTTATCGGCGGATTCGTCCCCAAAGTTCCTTGTTGTTTATCCTTTCCGACATGTCATACGACCTTCAGTATGAAGATGTTGACGAAATTCTGCACCCGCCTGTTGGAAATGCTTTTCGTGATGCACACGCCCAAAGTCTCTGAACCATGGTACTGGAAGCACTGACTGACTTGACATGATTGTTAAAAAAATGAATCTTGTTAATTATACTGAGTGAGTGCAGTAGATTTCCATATTGATTTCAGTGTGATAAATGTCTGTCTGGCTTTTTCAATCCTGCGTGGCTGACTGGCTTTGACACCTTCAACTGTGCCGCCACTGTCTGTAGTTGAAACAATGCTGCTTTGTTGAGATAAGTAAAAGAGTTTACTCTCTTTGGATTTCTCTCACCAGTGATGGTGATTGATGCTAGTCGTTGTTGGTCAGTGGGGTAACCTCATCACTTCTGCCATGTATATGTTCACTTGAAAAGTTCTGCCTTCGCTGTCTGCTTATTCTGCCAACTTACTGGTTTTCACATGTATTTCCTTGAGTTCATGTGACATTATTAAGGAACTGTTATTCACTTCGTGAGTCGATGTTTCGCTGGTAGAATATATCGCCAAACACTCCCGTAGTCTAGGTTCGATTCATGACTAGCGACTCTAGTTGACTAGTCTAGAAAAGTAAGGAAGGTTGGGGGTGTAAGACTGTAACGATCCCATCTCGTTAAAAAAACTCAAGTGAATGATAGAGTATGTAAAACTAAGGTGAATTGGATAGCTTTTTATTCAGTAGGACACACTCATAACTGTCCATCACATATTGAGCACAACATATTATCCAACTGTTGAATTGAACTCCAGAATAATATCTTCTTAAATCTATCCCGACTGATAACGAAGTCCACCCCTTAACTATTTGAATTCTTGATCAATCTTGAAATCAGTGGAACTACTGAAAATTAAAAATTGAAACTTGACCAAGTCTACATTGGTGACTGACTGACTATACGATAAAGTTGCCTGAAGATCCAGTGGGAAGTAGTGACCAGTGGGGTCCACCAACTAGTCGGGCGTGAAGGCTAATTTTCACCAAGAATTGGCAGAAGTCAGAGTTTATGTGCCTTTAGCTCCCGTCCCAGTGACTGAATGGTAATTACGCTCGTCTTGTAACCCGGAGTTTTTGGCTCCGATCCCTGGTAAGGCCTCATGGGTGAGTAGTGCTGAGGGGTCCCGACGAAACACGAGACAGCTGTCCAGTACCCCAGTAGTGGTTTCTAATGGTTCTCTATATATGACGTCAGTTTGTAATCGATCTTGTAATTTGAATTCAACCTACTATTGACTGTTTCTTGGGCATAAGTTGAGGTGACTGGAAGATCCTAAAAGATCCGAACTTCGTGGAGGTGATTTATGTCTCATAAATTTGAAGATCTATACGCGAGAACAAACAAGTTGTGAGGAATTTTAAGGAAGTCATCCTTTTCATTTATCTAAGTTGACAGAGTTAGCCAGGATCTGAAAAGCAAACAGACTTTCATTACTCTGAAATCAGTGAAAACATGAAAAACAGGAGTCAGATTTCCAACACACACCAAGTCGTCATCTCTGAGTGCTTCTATATGGTTTAGAAACTTAACCTTCGCTACACCGATACTGAATATCCGATGGTCATCCCAGAAGGGATAATCATGCAACAAGATATTCGGGTAACGAACCGGACAACAGCCGATTACTCAATCAATGAATATAGAAGGGAATTGTAGTGGATGTATAGATGAATTGCACACAAGCACTAAGAAGACCACTGACTGACATCAGCGTTTTTCAGACAGACCCTCGAGTAGAGGCCGAATGGGAAAAGACGAGTTGGGAATGTGTCCGAAGGAAAAGATGAAAGTTTATGTGCTGTCTCGTCCAGTCAGAATGAGAGGAGTGCATAAAACGGGATGAAATGGAGATGTCCTCCAGCTGAAGCCCTATGTTCCACTCGGAAACTATGGGAATAATAATAAAAATGAATATTAACGGGGGGAGAGGAAGGTAGACTGACCTTTCCAAGACAATTTTTCAATTGTTCCACATCTAAATGCCCACAACCATCACCTTTCTCATCACGAACATAAATATCTTGCAGAAACGTAGTCATTAAATCCGACACCATAACACGCTTTTTCCTGTCGTAACATTTCAGCCATAATTTACGTTGATCTGTCACAGTCAACTCCGCAGTACGAATATACTCCAAAGCATCTGGAGGCAGTGGAAGTGTCAGTGTCGGCGGGATAACTCCTGACGACAATTCTTTCGACTGATAACGGTGGTAGGAATCATTGACAGTGGAATTATTTGTAATAAGACCAGTGGATTGAGGAGTTAGTGGTCGGTGGTTAGTTTGTAATAGCGTCGATTTCTGTTCATTTTGTTTTAAATTCCCACCACGACAACCACACATATAATTCAGTGTAGTACCAACAGTAGTAGCACTGTTATTACTACTACAACTTCCATTACCGGTGAATTGTTCATAAGTGTAGTTGCACAGGGTTGGTGATGAATTTTGAACTCCAGACTGTTGTTGCTGCTGACGTTCTTCTTGAACGGCTAAAAATTCACATACAAATAAACGAAACTGTATACAGAAGTTAAGTAGAACGCATACCATAACCATAAATATGAATAACATAAACGACGTCATACAGCCTAAGGTTCCGTGGATAGACTATGTGTGTGTGCACGTACCCACACACATTCATAGCCTCTAGCATCAATTAAGTGCACTTATCCATTGCCTTCACATGGTGAGGAAGTCAGAAGAGAGAATGAGAACGTCAGGTGCTTACAACCGGACTACTTGGTGGAGAACATATATGTGTACCTACCTAGAAGTTGACTGGAAAACCCTTACTATTCCAAACCTATGGTGTGCACATGGACACTAGAATCCAAAAGGATAGAATGGCGTATAAACCCCTCCTAGGTTGTTGGCAACCGTGGGAACGAAACTCTACTACACTACCTTGTGGATCAGACTTCAAGGCCCCTTCATAGGCTCAGGGGGTGGCAGACAGTTGTCTTAAGGAAAGCACAGCATGTTTCCCATTCGATTACGATTCTTGACCATAACATCTGATGTCTCATGCCATGGAATCAAATTATCTCTCTGACTTCACCAAGGGATGCCAACTCAACGCAGACATCTTTCATCCCACGGCACCACTCCATAAGCTGATCACCTATCTCTCCGTATTTTCCACCCAGTCTCACGGCTACAGAACAGTGAACGCTGAAAATTCCATGCTGTAAATTGTTATTGTTGTGGAATAAAGTGATTATTATTATTATATTATTATAGGAGATTCTGAGGTGAAATTCGTAGCACATGCCTGACCCATTGAAACCGGTGTTTTCAGATGACAACAATCAATAGATAGTGACCACATTGTGTCCAAAAACACGCTGCCTGACTTCAAAATTACTCACACAATGATGCCATAGGACCCAAGTAATTCTACGGAGGCAACGATGACTGAATGAGCAAAGTTGACCATCATATTTAGCTCAGACAGGTCAAAGCAAGAATGGACACACCGAAAGATTGTCAACCCGACGTTTGAAAGTCAGGTTGATGGCGCGATGATCCCAGATGTGGTTGGAAATTGGTGTAAGCCAAAACTAGCTTTTACTATATACGGTTAGAGATTTCGTCCATCACATTTCCACCAGCACTCACACAACTAACTAGATATACGAACTTGTTGACAACTTCAAGGCGTTCAGCTGAGGGAGGGAGTGCAGGTACAGCCTCCTGCTAATCTTGTAACAATACTCTGCATTTAGTCGGTACAAAACACACACTATACTTATGGACCATCATGCTTAAAATATCTCTTTTGGGTAACTGATTTATAATAACAGAGAAATATTACTTATTTTCGTCGGTTTTTTCAAAACAATATCAGCGTTTGGTCTTATTTGGCATTTATCAACAGCCGGACGTACATGCATCTATAGGCGTTGAGGTTCCGCCACTGAAGCTCGAACACAACACTCAATATTTCAAACTTGAAAGCGTTAAACACTGGGTATCAGATGGCCACAAATGGACAAAGCTTTGGTGTTTGAAACAGATAATGCTCACACGCTCATACACTGCATACTCACTAGGGATGGAAGTACACCCAGCTGCCAGCGAGTCTAAATAGGATGCACTGCACGCACATAATGAACACTAACTAGCAAACAGCATCAGTCAGAATAAGTGCTTAGTCTGTCACACTCTTTGAATAGCCTTATCTGTCCGAAACCGAATATATATATATATATATATATATATATATATGTATTGAAGTCCTGGAAAATCACCATAATCGCTACAGAAAACCCAAGTGAGTTGGGAGCTAATTCCACTCAACAGCAGCTTAGGTTTCTTGATGTATGTGAATAGGACTGCTTCAGTATAAAGAAGTCAGAAACACACTTCCGTTGGTACATTTTTGTTTACTTTGTAAGTGACTCTGAATAATGTATGAGTCAGATGAGATGCTGTGACAGGTATGCTGAAGAGAGGTTGCATTATAGCACTTCTCAGAGTCATAAAGAAGGACAGAGTGAACTGCTCCGTCCTAGTACACACACCCTTTAATCGGTAGTCAGCCGGCATCAGTCGGCAAATCCCCGGCGAGTCTCTTCTATTTTTGCTGAGATTTCGTCAGCAATTAGCCCGTTGTAGTTGATGCGATTTCCCAAATAAGTGAGGTGGTTTTCAACACGCTCAGCCATTTCACTGCCCATTCTTAAACTAAGAGTCGGTTCAAACTAGTCCTGCAGCAGTATCTTGCATATCATAGGGACGAATCGCATACCAACCATTCAAAGATTTCTGTTCAACGTATCCACAAAAATCCACGTTTTATCAGCATCTTTACCTATGACTTGAAAGTTTACGTTTCTATAATATGTATCAAAGATAATATACTACTTGACACAAGATCTGAATCGAATTTTGATTACGAATCGGCTACAGTTGGAGAACCACTGCACCCTGATGACTAACTAACTACATGATGAAGTTGCCTGAAGTTCCATAGGAAAGCCATGATCAGCAGCATTCATCAAGTTGGCCTCGAAGACAAATACTCATTCTTAGCTTTGGTTGACATTCGCGCCATATCACGAAATGGCAGGAGTTAGAATTCATAGGCCGGTCCCAACAACAGAACCAGAAAGTCCGGGGTAGTTCGATCTCTGGTGAGGGGTAATGGGCACGTACTGTCAAAGATTTCTAAACAAGGACAAAACAGCTCTTCAGTACTTTCTGGTGGTTTCCAATGTTTCTCTACCTGAAGTCAATACGTGATCAAAATTGAAATCAATTAAACCCTTGCAAACCAACACTTGATGATCTGAATCTTCGATCTTATCTTCATTGAAAGAAACATTTACCCAGAAAAAAAGCCAGGACTCACCTTCTCTTCGCATTCCAACACGTAAGCATTTTTGGTAACGACAATACTGGCAACGATTACGCAATCGTTTATCAATTTGACAATCTTGATTATCACGACAAATATACGTTAACTCTTTGCGTACAGTACGCTTAAAGAAACCTTTACATCCTTCGCAGGAAATGACACCTGTGCAGTGTAAAAACAAAACAGTGAGATAGTTTTCATCAGAAAAGCAACACCAGTCAGACAGTCACTGAACGCCTCCCCCAACCAACCAGCAAAGACAGTCGACTTTACTTTAAACTTCTCAGTGATCCAAACCCGTCAAATCAAACGACAAACTTATTCCCACAAATCGACCTCTACAGTGCTTTAAAGTAATGTATATATTGGTCAAGATCACAGTATTCAAAGTTGAGTGGTGAGAGAACACGTGTTGCGCACTCCAAGCCACTGCCTTCTTTGTCCACCAGTGTTAGGTGATATACGATTAGACAGGAAGAGTTAAAGGTGGTCCAACCAGAACCTGGCATCAATCCAGACACTGCCTGAGCGGCTGGGGTCCTCGAGAAGAGGCTAAGAGTCAATGGTGACATGGTTGAAAACTGTTCACAATGGCACAGATACATTCATTCATTGTAATCACCCATATTCTATTTAACTCTCGTGTCCTTGCAGCATATTACCATATTTTCTCCCGTACACTCCTCTTTTTTCTATCCTTTTGTGGTATATGAGGAATGTGACAAGTTCAACTGAGAAATGGAAAAGACAGTGAGTGATTCGTCACAGAGGATATATTAATTTCTACTTTTTTCTGTTGACTTAAGAGTTTAGTCTGTGGTAGCTTGGCGATTAGAACGCCACCATATACTCACATGAAAAGCATGTAGTATATCGTATTGATAAGACATACAGATAAACGCGTGTTTGTAGGCCGTCCTCATCATAAGATTCAAAATAAACTAGAGTAAATCATAAGATTTTCTTCTGTTTGTCTTTTTCTTATAAAACTAAAGTAAGTTTATTGCGCGTCGGTCGGTTCAGTGGTAGAGTACAGCTCACCAGTCAGGTACGTGATGGCCCGGCACTACAATTCACGGTCACCGACGCACTCCAAAATCTCACCACCATAGCCTGGGGATAGTAAGCCCCGTGAACAGGAAAGGTTGAGTATGTAAGACTAGCTGACCCCACTCTATACACACAGACAACGCCACTGCCAGTGGGATCTCAGAAGTTTGAAGCTCTAAGCCAGACTCAGATCACAAAAGGAAAGGAAAAGATGATAAAATGTTACACAATGATCAAATTCCTCTTAATGTTCTCGGTGACTATATGTTACTGGTGGTTAGTCACGAATATCGCAAGGGCCCAATTAGCCACATCAGCAGAGACCAGTGTTTCTTTACTTCCTACTATGGCGGATAGACCATTCGAGGATAGAGATTAAAAATAAAGGCAATTAACATCACGTAGTGTAAATTGTTTACACTATATTGCAGATGTGTGGGTGAGGTCGTCCGTATGGCGAACAGGGGGATGTAACAGCAGTAAGGTGTTCCCTTCAGATAACCACCACCAGAAGGCATGTGTATTGCCTCTCCAAACTGGAGACAGGGGAGGTTAAAAGGTGTCGACCACGAAATCTGCACATCTCTGACTCACTTTGCGACGGTCTGCAGCCGACAATAAGTACGGGCGCAACTATACACTCAATTGTAAACAGGTCATACGTGTAATCGGCTTCCGGCAGTTGTCTTATGCGCTCTGTTGTCGCGAAACACTAAGGACATGTGTTACGTATGCCAAGCCATCGCCTCCCTCGACGAGCAATGTTAGCGGATATAGGGTCAAGCCAGAAAAAAGCTAGCGGAGGTCAAACAAAAACTTGGCACCAGTCAATGAAATCCACAACAGTTGGTCTAAGCCACGTAGGAAGGTGTAGACTTCCAGGCTGGGGTACTCGAGACGGTAAAATTCAATGGTTGGAAACAATTGGTGACATGGCTGAAAATCGTTCTCAGTGGCGCAGATGCATCCACTCCTTGTGACTTATGATCTTCAATGAAACTGTTTTGTATTTCTTTATTACTCCTTTGTCTCACACCTCTGCTCACTGTTTCTATTATGCTTTTCTTGTACTTTCTTCTCTTGCTTCGCGTGCTACACGGAGTGTGGCGACTTGAACTTCCGCACATTTGTGCAAAGTTCTATGTCGAAAACAGACAGACAGAAACACTAAGACTCTTTCAATATTTCAAATATTTCAGGAAATCAAATTTCACAGTGTCGGTAATCTGGGACACAAAATGCACACAAAACCTCTCTAATCCTCACTTATCTTTGTCTTCATCTTCATCTCTATTACCTTGCCTTCCTTCCACTGATGCAACTCCTCTACTTGATGGCTCCTCACTCCCTCTTCACTCTGTGTCCACTAAAAACGACGGAAGCCAAAAAACCACCACGATAGTCTCCTAAAGCCACGCCACCAATTTCATATAGGAGCATTTAATGTTAGGACACTTTGCCAAATAGGACAACAAGCATCACTAGCTAAGACCCTGGCATCCGAGCCATTGATGTATGTTGTGTTTCAGAAACACGCATACAAGACCCAAGTGTGGTTATTCACCTAACCCCACCTGGCCAACAGGATGAATCTTCAAAATTCACCTTGAGGGTGTCAGGAGATGCCACAGCTAGTTCACGAGGATTAGCTGGCGTAGGGATAGCTTTGAGTACTAGGGCAGAAAAGACATTGCTTGACTGGATCCCGGTAGATAGCCGAATGTGTGCTGTCCGTCTGAACGGATCAGTAAGAAGGAGAAAGGACTGCACTACTCGCCGATGCCTTTTCGTAATCTCCGCCTACGCCCCCACTGACTGCAGTTCGGATGAAACGAAGGATGAGTTCTACCAAAAGCTGTCTAGTTTGGTGAGAAAGGCTAAACGCTCAGATATAGTCGTTCTAGCTGGTGACTTTAATGCTCAAGTAGGGAAATTGTGTCAATCTGAGAAGGATGTCGGTGGCACCTATGGAGTTCCGTGCCAGCGAACCGACAACGGTGACCGTCTCCTACAGTTCTGTTCAGATAATCATTTGTTTCTTGTAAGCACTAACTTTAAACACAAGGAGAGACACTGTTTAACCTGGCGACCCCCATCATCAAACCAACGCTGGACACAAATAGACCACATAGCAATAAGCTATCGTTGGCGTGGGTCGGTAGGAGATTGTCGCTCCTTCTGGAACACGTGTGTAGATACCGATCACGCACTGGTCCGGGCTCGTGTGTGCTTACGACTGAACGGACGTAGGAAACAGCTGGCGGTAAAACCATCACGTCCCCAGCTCGATCAGGAAACTAAATCCCTATTTGAGGAAGAACTAGCTAAACGCATATCTGAATTCGACAGCTGTGCTCACCCTGGAGAAGCCTGGAAGAATATTCAGTCAGCTATAGATACAGCTGTAAAAGCTGTGAATAAGGCAAATCCAAAGGTGAGTAAAAACCACTGGATTTCGACTGCCTCATCCGAACTGATAGATGCTAGAAGACTTATTCCGGCGAGCTCCGAATTCAATGAGGAGCGAAAGCTGCACAAAAGGAAACTTACTAAAAGTCTCCGCAAGGACCGTGAACAGTGGTGGGTGACAAAGGCAAAAGAGATGGAAAAAGCATCGGCGATAGGCAACACTAGGCAACTCTTTAGACTCATCAGGGAAACGGGTGGGAGAAGGCAAATCATAAGTGAGACTATTTCTGAGAAAAATGGCTCCTTAATTAGCTCTCAGGATAGACGCCTTGAACGCTGGAAAGAACACTTTGAGGGACAATTTAACTTGCCTACAGCCACACTGAACCTCCCCGACATCCAGCACACACCCGAATGGGATATAGACACTGGTCCGCCGTCTGTAGGTGAGGTCACAAAAGCTATCAGTAATTTGAAACGAGGCAAAGCGGCAGGACCCGACGGAATTATTCCGGAGGTGTTTAAATATGGGGGTGACATACTAGTTTGTAGATTAACTGAGGTACTAGGCAAAGTCTGGGAATCAGAGACAGTGCCATCAGACTGGGGTAAGTCACTTATTATACCGATATTCAAGAAGGGAAACAAGTCCTCGTGTGATAATCATAGGGGGATCAGCCTAACGAACATAGTCTCTAAAATCCTAGGCTCAGTAATCATGCATAGACTAAGCAGAACTCGGGAGGAACAGACAAGGGAAAATCAAGCAGGCTTTAGACCAGGTAGAGGGTGCATAGATCATATCTTCACTCTTCGACAGATTCTAGAACATAGACACACTTTTCGGCGTCCAACAATTGTCATATTTCTTGACTTGAAGGCGGCCTTCGACTCCGTGGATCGAAAGGTACTATGGCAATGTCTGACTGTGAAGGGAGTGCCAAGAAAGTACATTGCACTAATCAAGGCACTCTATTCAAACTCACGTAGTCGTGTAAGGGCTTATGGGGAATTGTCATCTGAATTGGTAACAACCAGTGGTGTCCGACAGGGATGTCCACTTTCCCCATTTCTGTTTAACTTCATCATAGATATGCTGATGGAAGTATCCTTAACTGAACGTAATGACTTAGGAATCGACTTGTTACCAGGGAATAATCTTATGGACTTAGAATATGCAGATGACATAGTCCTGTTAGGGGAGGATGCTGACAAAATGCAGAGTCTTCTGAACACCTTGAGCAGCAATCTTCGTATGTTTGGCATGCGATTCGCCCCTGCAAAATGTAAGATGCTGCTACAGGACTGGACCACGTCAACTCCTAACTTAGTGATAGGGAGTGAAGTGATAGAACATGTTGACCACTTAACATAACATAAGCTTTATTCCAAATCAGTACTTGTGATACAGAATGGAATTCTCAGCATTTTACTACAATATTGCATCCAGTTTTTTACATTAACAATAAATAAAGTTCTACATAGATTAAAGTTATCTCAACAACATATTAGTATGTCGGTAGCAAAGCCAAAATTAAAGTGTTTGAAGGTGTTAGAAAAGTAGATACTACTAGCATATTTACTGGCGTAAGCGATAGCAAAATGGTCGAGATATACAGAGTGTGAAAGAACGAACAAGAATGTTTTAAGTAGAGTTTGCAAGGAAGAGAGAAACAAAACAGCACATAACAAAAATAAAATACAGAATGAAGAGCGAGAAAACGTTGTACCTATAAATGATGTGAGTTGGAAAGACGAGATCCATTGGTTCTACTGACTATTTAATAAGTTAAAGGTTTCATGCCTGATGCATTCTTTATCGCACAGAACACGGGCTAGGTAGGGTATGGATGAGTTTTTGTACTTACTAGTGCGGGCATATAGTTTCCTATATAGGCTTCTTGTTTTCCCTGAAGAGATACATGGGGAGAGTTGTGAATGTAGAGGGTGTTGTGAGTCAGATAAAATGGATTTCGCCCATTTTTCACATGAGTCCATATGCCTGTCCACCAGAATATTAACAAGCTGGCTAAGTGGCAAACTGCTTACCCTGCTGACAACCTTTAACATCCTACGTAATAAGGTATAGTCTTTCTTCAATAGCCCACCTATTTGGGGAGTTGTATTAGCACCAACGGACTGATTGGCGATGAAATCTCAGCACGGATCCAAAAAGCTCGAGCTGCTTTCGCTGACTTACACCATCTCTGGCGTAGGCGTGACATCCGGTTATCAACCAAGGGACGTGTATACTGCTCAGCAGTTCGCTCCGTCCTTCTCTATGGCTCTGAAACATGGCCAATACGAGTTGAAGACATGAAAAGGTTGACTGCTTTCGATCATAGATGTCTGCGATCTCTGTCTCACGTTAGGTGGTTTAATAAGGTAAGTAATGTTGACGTTAGGCGTAGAGTGTTGGGCAAAGAGGGAAAATCAATCGACGAGGCTATAAAGTTACATAGACTTAGATGGCTAGGTCATGTGCTGCGCATGCCTAACCATCGCCTCCCCCGACGGGCATTACTAGCTGATATAGGTTCAGGTTGGAAAAGAGCCAGTGGTGGCCAAACAAAAACATGGCCTCATCAATCCATGAAATCCTTGACAGTTAAACTGAGTCAGGTAGGGAGATGCAGACTTCCGGGTTGGAGCCCTCGGGACTGACTCTAAGAATCAATGGCTGGAGACAATAGGTGACATGGCTCAAAATCGTTGTCAATGGCCAGCGCAGATGTATTCAGTCTCTGTAATCTTTCATATTTCTTTCTACCATTACCCATTCTGTTTCACTTTTATACTTGTCAGACTGTATTGATTCTCTTCACTCATCTTCTTGTCTACCTCTGTGTGCTATTTGGAACGTGGCAACTCGAACTGGTGCACTTCGGTGCCAAGTTCTATGTTGAATCCAGACAGACAGACAGAATCTGGGAGTCATATGAACTGATGTCAGCTCATGATGAAATCCTCCATGCAATCATTTGAAAAAGACAAAATTTGTTTCAGTCAGTGTATATTGTTGGTGACGTTTGCGACCACTAGCATCAATGTGGTAACAGCTGTCGGTGGGGGGTTTGTGTGTGTGGAGCATTTTCTTAGTGGTTCCCATAACGCACTAAGTTTGTGATTTAACAAGCACATAAATAAGTGATAAAGTAAAAATAATAACTAACCATAATGTTTTCCACTAGCACGATCTGAACATATTGAACAAATATACTCCCAGTAAAACAAGAAGAGGGAATAGACGTTGTATTACCGCTGCTACTACTACTGTTTGTACTACAACAACTACTAACACTACTTATACTTGTTGAACGTCCTGTCGGCCGAAGTAGACAACACACTGATGAAGACGACGAAGACGAAGGTAATGATAACGGGGAGGTACAATTAATCCATAATGGTGACGAGATAGTAAATTGGTTGTTACTACTCTTGTTATTATTCTCAACTTCTTGTAACTGACCTAACTTATTATCACTGTTATTATCTTGTGATGGTATTATAACTGACTGTATTTGGCATAACCCGACGACTCCACTTCCTGAGGGTACTGACGGTGGTGCTGCTGACTTTGATGACGATGCCGATGACGGTGGTGACTGTATACTGGTAGGATTTCGATTTGTCAAAATCATCATATCATTCTCTACAATAGGTATAACCTTCGTACTATTACTAGTAGAAGTTGTAGTAACCGTAGCAGTAGTATTGGGCGCGTGTTGATCCATCGACGGTAGAGTGATGTTTGAATTCGCGTTTGATAGACAACATAAGACCGATGGGATTACTCTACTATAATTATTATTATTATTGGGTTGATTTTCATTCGGCGTTTGAGATACCACCATTGGAAATTTACATCGTTGAATGCTTATTTCTGAGAGTTGCGGCATAGAATTTTGACTAACAGATTGAAAAGGAGCTGAATGCTATTGGAAATGTATTTCATCAGTAGACGACGGTGGTACGGGACGAAGCGGACGCCGACAGTGGGGGAAACAAAAAAACGTCATGAAGCTGATTCTCAAAACAAAAATAATCTGAAAATAATACAAATACCTTTGGCATCTTTCATACCTAAGATATGCGTGTCGGCGGTTTTGGGGTGGAACACTCGTCAGTCAAGCACGTGGTCTGGAGTCTAATTCCCGGCTCCCAACGCATTCCTGAAACCACGCCTGTTCGGTAGTAAGTCTATGGAAAAAAGTAAGGTTGGGTGAGTGGGGATAGCAACCCTGTTATGATAATAGGTGTCTGCGTTCTATCTCCCGTGTTAAGTGGCATAGGGTGAACAACATTGACGTTAAGCATCGAGCGCTAGGTTACATCGATTGAGATGACTAGGACAGCACGTGTTACGCATCCCTAGCCATCTCCTTCCTTGACGAGCAATGTTAGCTGACATGGTATCACTTTGGAAAATAGGTTATGTTGGTGAAACCTAGACTTGGAATCAGTCCATGAAATCCTTGACAGTTAATTTAAGCCAATCACGTAAGGAGGTGTAGACTGGTTGGCTGTGTTTGGGGTCCTCAGGATAATAAGAACCAATGGTTGGAGAAAATTGGCGATATGGCTCAAAATCGTTCTCAATCACAGCTCAGATGCATTCACTCTTTGTGATTTAGAATATCCAATAAACTCTAATGTTCTTCCATATTACTATTCTTTTTACATCATATTTCTGTTTATTATCTGTTTTTTGAATCTTTCTTTACTCTCCTCTCTTGCTTTGTATGCTATGTGAAGTGCTTCAACTCGAACTGTTGTACATCGGCGCAAAGTTCTACGTTGAAACCAGTATGTCAGTCATTGATAAAAGTATAAAACTTGGGCACTGTGGTAGAGTATAACTCCATTATGGATAAGATTTTGTTTTGATAAGTCACACAGTGTTGTACAGTAATATTAAGTGATGACGTTTCGAGCACAAACTATTGCTCACAATCATATAAAGTTGATATATAGGTTAAATGGCATGGCTTTCTGCAGACTGATCGCCTACAACAATCTATTATCAATTTAGAGTGGACTAACAACTGACTAAAATTAAATTCAGTATGCACCATCACACACCAAATACTAGACCCTCACGACATCAATCCGCAGTGATGATGTTTACCAACTTATGTGAATATTGACTGAAGATGACCATTGTAAATTTCAACAAACTGAGATTGATGAACGAAGAATATATTTGTTCGATAACATTATTATCAGGTTCTACAGTTATATGTCCGTAATAGTTAGAGAATTATCATTACTAATAAAACTAACTTTTCACAAATAATGATAAGATCAATAGATTACAGTTCCAAAGTATCCGTGAGTGATAATATGCATAAACGTAACACTAAAGTGAATATCAGATAAATTAAGGGAAGTAAAACAGAAATACCAACAACAGTACGTATACAACTGCAAGTTGACACCAGTCCTCCAACGAAAGCTGAAGTCTTGAATGCAATCAAACTTCTGAAAGCTGGAAAAGCAGCTGGACCAGATGGAATACCCCCTGAAGCACTGAAAGTGGACCCAGAAACTACAGCAGATATGCTGACTCCATTATTGCAAAACGTCTGGAAGGAGGGAAAGGTGCCTACTGACTGGAAGAAAAGTTACCTCATGAAACTACCAAAAAAGGGCGACTTAGGACTCTGCAAGAACTGGCGAAGATTTATGCTCCTATCGACGCCAAGTAAAATCCTGAGTAGCATCATCCTGGAGAGAATAAAGGACACACTGGATACAGAACTCCGTCTAACCGAAACAAGCTGGATTCAGGAAAGGCAAATCATGTTCTGACCAAATTGCAACTCTATGGATCATCATCATCGAGCAAAGCATGGAATGGTAATCAAACCTCTACCTCAACTTTATAGACTTCGAGAAGGCCTTCGACAGCGTTGACAGCGAAGTAATTTGGAAACTACTCGAGTACTACGGCGTGTAGCGCCCAAATATTCATCAACCCTATTCAACAGCTGTACGACAACGACACATGTCAAGTGATCCACAACGGAAAACTCAGCGAGACGTTTGAAAAAACACAGGAGTCAGACTAGGGTGCATATTATCTATCATCAATGATATTCCTAATTGTGGTGGACTGGATTATGCGTCAGACAGTGGGAAACAAGAAGACAGAGATATCCTGGACCCACGTGAAGAACCTAGAAGACCTGGATTTCGCGCGTGGATGATTTATGCTTGATGTCACACAAAATAGAAGACTTACAAGCGAAAACCGAAAAACTGGTCGACGAAGCAGCCAGCAAGGACAGGACTCCAAGTGAACATAGACAAGACGGAGGTTATGAAAATAACAAGCCAACCAACAACAACAACAGCAGCAGCAACATCCAGCGGCAATCACCATAAATGGGAGGGATTTGAAAGAGGTTACTTCATTCACTTATCTAGGGAGCATTGTTTCAGCTACAGGAAGTCGGAACGGACGGGGACGTCAAATCGAGCGAGAATCGGGAAGGCGAGAAACACATTCATCAACCTGAAACCAATCTGGAAATCTTCGCCACTCAGCATCGACAACAAACTTCGGTCGGATTTTCAATACAAACGTCAAGTCAGTCAGTTCTTCTATACGGATCAGAAACTTGGCGGGTCACAACAGGCTATTGCAGACCTTTATCAACAACTGTCTTCGCTCTATACCGAAGATCAGATGGCCGGACAGAATCACCAACAGGAGACTATGGGAAGAAACAAGGACATCTAAAAACAAGGACCAATCGCCCAGCAAATATGCAAGAGAAAGTGGAGATGGATTGGACACTCGTTGAGGCCGGTTGGTGGCATCGCGCGTCAGGCCCTCGAATGCAACCCGAAAGGGAAAAGGCGAGTGGGACGTCCAAGGGTGACGTGGAGGAGGTCGTGTGAAGAGGAGTTGAAACAGTATGGACTAACATGGATGCAGGTGAAAAGCACAGCAGAAGACAGAAGCAAGTGGAGAGGTGCAGTTGAAGCCCTATGTTTCACTAGGAACCCAAGGGAACAACAATAATAATAATACTAATAATAGTAAAACAGAATTTATGACTTTATGGGTTCGACAGCAGGTCAGGGTAGCGATAATGGCTGAACCTACTTTTTTGCACACAGTTCCGGGTGTCTTATGCGTGTTGCGATGGCTTCTACTTTTCGGAATATTCGGTACCTACAGGCTTTTGGCAGTCTATCCAATGCCCGGTAGATGATGGATAAATATCCTTCAGTGCTGGCTTTGTCGTCTATTTGAACCAGGTGATCTAAAATATCAGACTGTTGATTGTTTTTATTACACAATGGTAGATGTTCTCGAGCACGAAAAATTAAGTTCCTAGAGCAACGGTCAATACAACTAGTTACACATCGAGTGTGAGATTCGAGCCTAGGTCACCCTGTGCAGCACTCAGACTTAGAGATTGGCTGGTGGAATTCAGTCTGTACCGAATAACGGACTAAACGGATGACATTAGTTACTACCTAGTATCCAATCTAAGTATTTGTTACAGTCCTACAGGAGGTGGATGGCGAGCTCGAATAGCTAGCTCAGTGGTGACTCACGTCTCTGACTGACAGCAGCACTGCTTCACTCGGTCGGCTTCGAATCTCAAAGTAAGGCACATGACATGAGTTGCTTCAACATGGTTGCAGTGCAGATATACCTTGTTGACTGGTCAGTTCCAAAAAGTACGAGACCTACGTCTGAGGCTTCCTACCGATTGTCATCAGCGATTTAACAACAATTAAGAATGCACCATGATGGTGAGTTGCCTGGTCCGATGGTGGCAATATTGCAAATTTGGCCGATAGTCAATTCAGTCTGTACCAATAGACACCAAGGGAACCAGACGCATGACATTAGAGTGACGGCCAAATATACAATCAAAGCAACCAACGCTGAAATCAATTAAAATTTCTAAACAAAACCCAAAGTCATTCGATTAAACTAATTATGCATAACAACTGTCTAGTAAACTTACCCGACGTACAGGAGGGTGAAACTGTAGTGATGATGTGGAGGAGGAGGCGGCTGACGATGAAGAACACCGAGGTACGAAGTTTAAATTCGAATTTTGGGGCAAATCAGTGACGTAATGTTGTATGTGATCACCACTCCCTTTCAGCTGATTATTACGTAAATATTCCGGTAAACCTGATTTCTTTAAAGCATCATATTGACTAGACTTTTGGGTATTACTATTTATTGACGAGAAACATGGTTGTACTAACAACGTTTCTTGTGACTGTTGATTTACCAATGTTACATAATCATTAGATTTTAAATATTGAAAACTACCAATCAGTCCATTAGTAAATACAGGTTGTAATGTACTCCTACTGAAGAGTGTGTTATCATTCACGTAAATAGTCTCTGTCATCGATGTTGGTGGTTTATTTTTCTTAATCGATATATTACTTGATGTGCATCGGGATTGTGTGATTGTGTTTGTCAGCGGCATATGATTATTTATTGTACAATTGCCATTTGATGAAATGGATGGATGGGGTGAGCAGGAAGAGGGAGTGGTGAGGAAGATTTGTTGATGTCTAGCCTGACCCAGAATTGGTTGGGATCGACAATCTCCACTATTATAGATCATGTTATTTATAGTAGTAGTGGTAGTAGTAGCAGTGGTGGGTGTAGTGGTAATAGATGTTATAGTAGACGCTTTAAGATGCGTTGAATTATTAACTATTGAATAAACCGGTTGATGAAGAGACTGTGGCGGTGCGAATTGTGCATAACTGGCTGGCGGCATGGTTATCATTACTTGGCTACTATTACTTACTATATGTTGAAGATGGACAGTCGGAGGACAAGATATCCGACTACTGTTGGCATTATTAGTATACACTGTATGAGAAATAAACACTGGCGGGTTAGGCTGAACAGTAGTGGAAACTGAAGAAGAATAGGCCGTAGCAGAACCAGGACCAGGAGCAGAACATCGAATCACTGATTTCATATGATTTGGCGAGTATTTCAGTGAATTTTCAATATGTTTCACAGAATATACTGAGTTGTTAAATGAAGGTTGACAAGTGTAGACCATCGTGGCTCCTACTGGTGCTGCCGATGCTGGTGATGCGGCTTCTAGTGTCTGTATTCTACCACTACCACTGCCACCTGAAGGTGTGGCACTGATATATTCCTGATAATCTATATACTCAGCTTTTATGAAAGGATCAATCAACAAGCTTGATTCACAACTATTATTATTAATATTATTATCGACCGGATCTATTCGAGTTGTCGGTGACGTCGACATTTGCAGGATACTACTGCCATCCCGATGATGGAGAGGTGACTGATGAATTGACGTTGGTTGAGATATTGATATAACTGGCGTACTTCCCATTAACTCCACTGGATAACCAGCAGTGGCAGTGATATTAGATGGAGTCAAAGATGGTGGTGGAATGTAGTTTTCAGGGAGTACTGTATTGGCGGAAAGTGACCCTGGTAATGACTGGAGAGGAAGCGGATTTGTAGGAGCGGTAGTATCATAATAACTCCCTTGATAACCTGTATATTCATTGGGTATAAGTGGTGGCATATTTTGTAAGTTTGTCGACAATAAGATATTTGTATTCTCCAATGTATTTGGATCTGTTGAGTAGATTGAAAAGCATAACCGTTTAATCATATATACATACATGTAGAAAATGACTAAAAATTTCAACGAAATTCGTAGTGCTTTAGTTAATAGATTTCGTCACGAACCAACGGCATCAGTTAGGGAGGGACCATTGGAAACCAGTAGCGAGCATATTGAACAGCTGTCCACTCCTATTTGTTCGGACTGACCCTTCAGCGGTGCACATCCACCACCTCGCCGGGGATCATATAACTAGGGATCTTCAGGTCACAAGACCAAGCTTGTCAACCCATTCCAGCCACACCAAATGTGATCTGCTTGATGATACCACAAATAGCAGTCAAGTAAGCAAACACAATTGAATGAAACCAAATCCTACTGATTGATTGAGATGGAGGGGTAGTTAGATACCCCTCACATATACACTAGTAGTGATTGCTAGCCAGCCATATCAAAGTGATCTTAACACATTTATACTATCAATCAGATCACAAATATAGTATCATCTGAATAGTTCCTGTTTCTAAAGGAAACCAGAGAAATAATTACCTCGAACTGTGTAAACTGACAATTTGATTCACGGTATTACCAGTTAGCCCAAGTAGCTAGCCGGTATTCGGGTTGATTTGAACTGATTCGGGTCCGTCTTTGAGTTGAGTCAAACATCGGATGTACCGCTGACTGATGAGTTCAGCCTCGAACGAGTGAAACGGTCATCCGGTGGTGTTCAGATCACTTCGATAATCCGGTTGATGTACGTGTGTGACATCCATCTACTCCGAATCTCAATCAGTCAATCAATCGATCAGTAAGGTATCGATCCACGCAACTGACTACATGTCGGTGTTTGAACACCGAAGGGTTAGATAGATAAGCCGATTCGAATCAATGACCTATACATCAACTAGTTTGAAAATGTATTATAGTGATAACTATTTAGGCCAAAAAATGACCACTTTGCAGACATCATAACTTGGACTCACCTGACCACCAATGTACACATAACTGATTAAAAAGCACTGAAAAATAATGAGAAAAATAATAATCACTCACCAACAGATACATATTCTGTTGTCTGGACGGATGGAAGCACCATTGGCTTATCAGTTTCGACCTTATGATCACTATTATGATCGCCACTGTGATTATGACTACTATTAGTAGTAATAGTATTAGTATTGTGTTCATTGATTTTATCCAAATTGAAAGAGTTCACCGCTGCTTCGTCACCCTGTGTAGACCATAGCGTTTTCTCACTCCCTTCATCAAGATCTGATAAATCAACAATTTCATCAATTGTTACACTAGTGGAATGACTATTGATTGGTATATTATGCCCCAATTCAATCAAACCTTCAGCATCGATAAGACGACTGATTAATTCAAAACTAGATAAACGATTCTGATCATCACTGGGATTAATTTCATCGTCATTATAATGTACAGCTGTGGAGGTTGTAGTTGTAATCGTAGAAGTTACCGGTGAGTACAGCTGATATTCTGAATCAATTATGAAACTATTATTATCACTCTGATCACCAATTACAACATTCTGACTCACAGGTATAAATGAATTGTGTTCAGCAGGTGGTAGTGACCTTAACTGTAGAGATGAAAATCGATTTGATGAATAATGGTAATCATTTTGTTCCACTGAACTAACAACCGAATGTGGAGTGAATATACTCACCGGTATCATATGCGCGGGGATGGGGATTATACTCTTTATAATAAGTGGTTGATTGATATCAAAGATAACAAGTTAACAGGACGCAAGGAGATATATGGTGTGAAACAGAATTATGACTGTTGACTTGATGTATCACATAAACATGGGTACACTTTCGTGTTAGTATTACCTGTGAAGTAAAAAGACAACAAAAAAATGTAGAAAAATATTATAGGAGATGGCATGGTATACACTGACAAATGTATGATTTGATTTCATTTAAATGCTCGCACAATCTTGGTACATTATGTTTATCAAGAGATGCGCCACACATACACACACACGGAAAGGAAGCACGACAGTTAGGGAATAGGATCACAAAGCAAAACCTAGGTAAGCAAGTACGCGGGTAGACACGCAAATCCAAATCAATTATCACTGGACTGACCTCCTCGATAAGGGATTAAACTTTAGTGTAATAGTTAATGGACTGAACGATGTCATTCCTAGCATATTAGTATCACTAAGTAGAACAATCGACAATACAACAGTTGAAGAGGTCCAAGCACAACGTTTATTAGCAACAAAAACAACAGAAGGTATGATTGACTGACATACTGGTTTCAACGTAGAACTTTGCGCCGATGTACAACAGTTCGAGTTGACGCACCTCACATAGCATACAAAGCAAGAGAGGAGAGTAAAGAAAGATTCAAAAAACAGATAATAAACAGAAATATGATGATGGTGCGAGCTTTTCGACTACGGCGCTACGTTTCCCTAATTCCATAAAAACTCTCGTTTCTGTAAAATTTCATGCCAAGAGTTTGTGGAAACTATTACAATTATTTACCTTTCGAGCACTAAATCTGAGGATATAATCTTATTGACAGATAATACCGATAACTAACTGTTTGGATTTGTGAAATTTTTAAACATAAACACATCTATAATTGTATATATTGTTGGATTTACATGTTCAAGTTGTTCCAAGACAGTGAGTCTATGGTTGAGATATCATTTTAGTTAACTATGCTGAACTATATTGCATGTTGTTGTATTGTGTCGTTGTTGTCGCTTTTTGCCCTTTTTGTTGTGAACTGTTTTCCTTTTGCTGGTGTTGTTCTGATTGTTTTGTCCGTTATTTTCCGATTTTGAGGGGAGCAACCCAAAAGGTAGCTTCTCTCTAAACTTTATCTTAATGTAACCATTCCTTTCTCAGGCGTGAGGCTAGCAACCCCACCCTGTAAACAAAATTGCTACAGAAACTTCAGCACAATGAACCTCTTTGCACCAAAAGAAAAAGTCTGTGTGGGACATGGAACGTCCGCACTATGTACGAGACAGGGAAAGCTGCCCAAATCGCAAACGAGATGAAAAGATACGGAATCCAAGTGCTGGGAATATGTGAAAGCAGATGGAATGGGAGTGGACTCACCAAATTGTCAACGGGCGAGTCAGTGATCTACTCCGGTCACCCAGAAGATAACCACACGCACACCGAGGGCGTGGCTATCATGATGTCACCAACGGCAACAAAGCCCCTGATGCAATAAGAGGCGATCTCGTCCAGGATAATGACCGCCAGATTCAACTCCAAAGGAAGGAAAGTGTCAATCATACAATGTTATGCACCCACAAACAACGCAGACCTCGAAAAGAAAGAAGAATTCTACAGACAACTACAGGCAACAATGGACAATACTCCAGCTGGCGACATGAAAATACTAATGGGAGACATGAACGCCAAACTGGGACCAGACAACACAGGAAGGGAACTCATCATGGGTAGAGAAGCTCTCGGAGAAATGAATGAAAACGGAGAACTCTTCGCCGACTTCTGCGCCTTCAACGAACTAGTGATTGGTGGCAGTGTATACAAGCACAAAGATATCCACAAGGCTACATGGGTGTCACCAGACGGGCAAACCAAAAACCAAATCGACTTCATCTCAATCTCAAGGAAGTGGAGGCGCAGCCTACTGGACACAAAAGCAAGAAGAGGAGCAGACGTTGGCTCAGACCACTATCTCGTACAAGGGACAATCCAAATCAAATTAAAAGCTTTCAGGGAAACAGGAGCTGCAGATAGACCACAAGCCAAGTTCAACACTCAAAAGCTGAAGGACCAGCCTACAAAGGACATCTTCATTGCAAACTTAAGGGAAAAAGCCGAGACACAAGTCAACACCAGTGGGAAGGTCAGCGTCGAAAAGCACTGGAACAACTTGAAAACGGTGTGGAGTCAAACCTGCATGGAAGTTCTAGGCAGAAAGAAGAGACAGGACAAACAGTGGCTCACTACGGACACTTGGAAACTAATAGAAGAGAGAAGGACAGTGAAACAAAGGATTATCCAGTGCACTGACGAGCAACAAAAACAGGAGCTGAATGCAAGCTACAATACACTGAACAAAAGAGTGAAGAAGAGTGCCAGGGAAGACAAAAGAAAATATTATGAAACCATGGCAAACGAAGCAGAACAAGCTGCAGGCAAAGGAGACCTCGCCACACTCTACCAAACAACTAGGCACCTATCGGGAAAAAGTTCGACACAGATTAAGCCAGCAAAGGGTGACAATGGAAAGTCAATCACCAAAGAGGTGGAACAAAGAAAACACTGGGCTGAACACTTCAAAAGACTTCTAAATCGTCCGCCACCTACAACACGCCCAACAATACCAACAACGGAAGCAGAACTACCAGTGAACATTGATCCCCTGACGAAATCAGAAGTCCTGAATGCAATCAAGATGCTTAAAGCTGGGAAAGCACCAGGACCAGATGGAATCCCAGCAGAAGCTTTGAAAATAGACCCAGAGACAACAGCGGACTTGATGCCACCACTGCTGGAGAAGGTGTGGAAAGAGGGCAAAGTACCCGAGGATTGGAAGAACGGATACTTATTCAAACTACCAAAGAAAGAAGACTTAAGTCAATGTAAAAACTGGCGTGGAATTATGCTTCTGTCCATTCCAAGCAAAATACTAAGCCGCATCATCCTGGAGAGAATCAAACAAGCCCTAGATGAAAAACTTCGACCGGAACAGGCCGGATTCAGGAGAAACAAATCATGTATTGATCAAATCGCCACTCTACGGATCATCATTGAACAAAGCTTGGAATGGCAGTCACCTCTCTATCTCAACTTCATCGACTTTGAAAAGGCCTTCGACAGCGTCGATCGGGAGGTCATTTGGCAACTACTTCGCTACTACGGGGTCCCATCGACAATTATACACCTCATCCAACAGTTATACGACAATGCTGCATGCCAAGTAATCCACAACGGGAAACTTACGGAAGCCTTCGAAGTGAGGACGGGAGTGAGACAAGGCTGCCTACTATCACCAATGATTTTCCTGATTGCAGTAGATTGGATAATGCGACAGACAACGGGCAATGGGGAAACGGGCATAAAATGGACTCACACAAAAAAACTTGGAGGATCTAGACTTCGCCGATGATATATGTCTGACTTCCCACAAACCGGAAGATATGCAAGTGAAAAGCAACAAGTTGGCAGAGCAAGCATCCAGAGAAGATATGTCTGTCTGTCTGTTTTCGACATAGAACTTTGCACAAATGTACGGAAGTTCAAGTCGCCACACTCCGTGTAGCACGCGAAGCAAGAGAAGAAAGTACAAGAAAAGCATAATAGAAACAGTGAGCAGAGGTGTGAGACAAAGGAGTAATAAAGAAATACAAAACAGTTTCATTGAAGATCATAAGTCACAAGGAGTGGATGCATCTGCGCCACTGAGAACGATTTTCAGCCATGTCACCAATTGTTTCCAACCATTGAATTTTACCGTCTCGAGTACCCCAGCCTGGAAGTCTACACCTTCCTACGTGGCTTAGACCAACTGTTGTGGATTTCATTGACTGGTGCCAAGTTTTTGTTTGACCTCCGCTAGCTTTTTTCTGGCTTGACCCTATATCCGCTAACATTGCTCGTCGAGGGAGGCAATGGCTTGGCATACGTAACACATGTCCTAACCATCTCAGTCTTTGTAACTTCACCACTTCGTCGATTGATTTCCCCTGTTTACCTAGAACTCGACGCCTAACTTCAATGTTGCTCACCTTATTATACCACTTCACACGGGAAATAGAGCACAGGCACCAATGATCAAAGACAGCTAGTCTTTTCATGTCTTCCACTCTCAGGGGCCAGGTCTCACAACCATAAAGGAGGACGGAGCGGACTGATGAGCAGTACACCCGCCCTTTGGTCGATAGTCGAACATCTCGTCTACACCAGAGTCTTCAAAGTGAACATAGATAAAACAGAGGTGATGAAGATTCCTGGCCAACATCAGCAGCAACAACAGACAATCAACATAAATGGGAGGAACCTGAAAGAAACAGCCTCCTTCACCTATCTGGGAAGCATCGTTTCAACTACAGGCGGAACTGACGAGGATATCAAAGCCAGAATCGGAAAAGCAAGACAAGCTTTTATTACTCTCAAATTTGTGTGGAGGTCAACAGCACTCAGCATCAAAAATAAGATTCGGATTTTCAACTCCAATGTGGAGCCAGTCAGTGCTACTATACGGATCAGAGACTTGCACTGTGCGTCATAAAGAGCATCTCAAACAAACTACAGACCTTCATTAACAGTTGTCTTCGCTCAATACTCAAGATCAGATGGCCGGCCAGAAAAGATCAGCAACAGGGATCTCTGGGAGCGAACCAACCAGGAACCGATTGTGCAACAAATAGGGAGGAAGAAATGGAGATGGAATGGCCATACTCTGAGGAAACAAACCATCAAGTGACATCACTAGACAAGCCATTGCTCGAGTGGAACCCGAAAGGGAAGCGGGAGGCGAGTTGGTTGTCAGTGCAAGGGTGACTTGGAGGAGATGAAAGCATGTGGGCAGACTTGGAGCGGGGTGAAAAAGTTGGCATTAAACAGAAGGCAATGGAGGTGCGCAGCTGAAGCCCTATGTTCCTGTAGGAACTAAAGGATACAATAATAATAATGTAAAAAGAATAGTAATATGGAAGAACATTAGAGTTTA